TTAGAATTAGGTGGGACTAAATTCTGCAGGTTGATAAAAATAGCTATAAAGACATGAACACAAGTGTAAGGATATAAGAGTGTAAAGATATATATCAGAGTATAAAGATACAGGTTGGAATTTTCAAAGTTTCAGCTTGAGACAATGACAGACTATTCGATTTCCCCCCCCCCCCCCCTTTGGCTAAACTCCAAAATATTAATCAGTCCCACTTGTTTTTTCACAACCAGTCTTTAAATGCCCCCCTGTTTAAAATATACTTAGTTCATCTATTCGTGTCACTCTAATAACACACCAGGGAAAGAGCTGTTAGCTCTTTATTCACAGAGGGACAGAGAGAAACCACCTCAATTTCTGGTTCTATATGATATGGAAACTGTTGAAAAAGGTAGGGTTTTTTATGTCTCAGGTTGCTATAATTTCAGGACATAATGCAGTGGTACTAAAGCATCTGGGGTTCGAATGTTGAAAAAGCCAGTTGTGGCTGTAAAGGTTTTGGGATCAACAGTACTTGGGATCCCTCTAATTTTTCTGGATAGAGACAGAGAGTTTGTGGTCTGGGTTGCTCAGTGGTGCACCTCCCTACAGCCCTGCACATTCCTCTTGCATGTGTGATCCCAAATGATGCTCTTGCCTTTGACATATGAATACAGTTGGGTTTTTTTTTTCTGAGAACCCACAACCAGCAATTTAATTAAGGTAATTTAATTTGTCTTCAAAACAATGCGCTATGCATTAATTAAAGTAGCTTAATTTGTCTTCAAAACAGAGTATTATTCATTTACCCTAAGGCATGAGATACATAGCACAAAGGGCAAAAAACAGCAGAGGTACATGACTCTTACTCATACCCTCATCTTTCCCCTTGACAGCTTTTGTGCTTTCTCATTTTCAGTTTCAAGGAACATTTGTGTTGTATTAGCACCAGTCTGTTTTTACAGTGCTTTCCTTTGCCCTTAACTCCCTTCCTTTCACAAAGTGCTTCTGGACAGCTTCTCTCAGGTGACTCAAAAGCCCCAGTTTTGCAAAGCTTTTGTGAGAGTACAGTGTGATACTTCTCAGTCCTGAAAAAACAGAGATATTAGCAGTGTTGTGACCAAGGTGCTATCTTCTAGGTCCACAGACCTCCTTGACTTTGTGGACTCTTTTGTATGTCCTCAGCTTCTCTTCACCTGTTTGATCATTTTCATAACCCCCGTTGACTGACTGCACAACAAATATCCTCATCTCACAAATGCACATGTGGAATGTTCATTTTAAAAATAAAAATATCAGGCGCATTTTTCTAGTTTCCTAGTGGAACTACTTGTTCCAAAATAACAGCCTGTGATACCTACCTTTTATCAGCAACAAAGTGATACAGAATACTAAATAATTATAAAAGGTAAGATTTTATAAAACTTTAGGTTTTGATAATTTTTAAAAAAATCATTAAAAAAATTAAATAGGCTGCATACATCATGTAAATCTTTTGTAAGGTAAACCTTGTGCCCATAGAGACAGAATTTAGTAAGTTATTTTTGATTAATGAAGTGTTGTTGTTGAGAATGTGCCCACATAACAAAAAAATATCTGATATATGATGATAAAAAGTACTTCAAAAGAAACTATTTTAGCTACAGTTCAGCAGAGTCTTAGCTTCATTTAATCCCCACTTCAGTGGTAGATATCAACACATTTCATTCTAGGAACTTGGGAAACACCAAAGAAGAACAGGCCTGTTGGCTTCGCTGGTGTGTTTATTTCTTGGTGATATTGAATGTTTGGAGACATGTGTGTTCCTGGAAGTCCTCACAGCAGGTAGCATTTGTAATGAACTCCTTAAAATCCGAACATACCATGTTTTGTTTGCCCTTTGGAGTAACTAGGGAACCAGCCTCACCCCAGAGCCTATGCAGAGTCATCCCCTTCAGACCCTTTTGTGGCTTTGGCATTTCCAGCTAGCTGAGATGAATTGCTATTGGTAAAAATACCCCAGAATTCAGTCCTTTAGCTGCAGCAAGAGAGGTGTAAACCGGATATTTCTGACCAACAGTATCAGAGTTGGCTCTCCCATTTGAAACAAGGCCAGCTAATGCCTTTGGGATGAATCTCAGGAGAGAGGACAGGGCCTGCAGAGAGCCACAGAAAACCTCTCCTCTCTGTAGTGCAGGAGCTCTGGACTGTCCTAGCATGCAGAACAGGGAAATCACAATGGTCACAAGGAAGCCCCACCTATAATACAAAATAATCCCATTAGTCTGTCCACGACAAAGACCTGGGAGTTATTTTGCTGGGTAGGTGGCCATGGGAACAGTGTGGTTATCATCACACAACAGAGACGGAAACCAGAACTTTCTCCAGGAACGGGGAAGCAGCTTCCAGGAGTATCACAGGGAGCAGCACTTTCACAGCAAGAATCCAAGCTTCCTAAAACAACATCACCACTACAGAACACCACAAACATAAAAATTATCAAGGAAAACCTAAAATCTTTCTGAGCAGGAGGAAAGAAAATAAAGAGTAACACATAGGTTTGCTTTCTTGAGAAAGATGTCTAAAGGTGAATTCTGTGAAGGTTAGACAACGTATGAAGGCATGTAGCTAGATTTAGCTTCAACCTTGCATAGACTGGAAACACAAAGCTGAAGTTCGTAGAATAAAAGTGAGATTGCTTTGTTTAATCTTTGCTTTTGGAAGAAGCTGGAGGTGAAAGCACAGCTGAGAGCTGGCAGGTCCATCCTTCTGCTAGCAACATGCACAACTGCAGTAACTCTTGGTTTATCTCCTCAGCCAGCCTGGCAGGGATGGCAGCTGCCTGTACTGAACCACATTCCAGCCCTGGTCACGCTGGAATGAAGCCAGGATCATGTCATTGGCTTCAATGAAGTTATTCTCTATTCATGTTTGCTAGCTGAGAATCTGGCCCATTCTATCTAGGCAGCAATATGTAATAGAGAAAATACTGCCAAATTAAGGGAACAAGAAGAACCTAACTATGTGACATGAAGAGGAAACATTTTACATTATAAGGATTATAGAGGCCCTTTACTTTAAGGACTTTATCAGCATTTAAAAGACAGTTGGCTGAAATGCATTTCCATATATGCCTAGATTTTCTTTTAAGTCTCATTTGCTATTTTAGAAAGTGAAAAGAAAATGTATTGATTTTAATATTATTGAAATAGAAATGCTGTAGTTTGTTCAACACAGAACACTAATTCGTTACAAATCTATGAGCAAGACTCTTCCATTTAGGATTTCCTCCACATCAATTAAGAAGGCCTCTCTGGCCAAAATATGTTGAGTTTCATGATTTTCTCTGTGGAAGCACTTTTCTGTTGGTGCCAAATTCAGTTTTGGGAAAAATGCTGTGTTTTGCTCTGCTGGGTAAACCTAGGTTGTCCCTGCTGTAGTGACCAACAGAAGACAGAGAAAAGGACTCCAGGTAAAGAAAATTTATTATCACTGTATTATTTCAAATAAGTTCAGATTAATTCTTGGCAGGGCTTGATGATCTAGTTTATCTGACTTTAAGGAAGCCAGTGCTAACAAAAACTCTGCAACCAATGATAAAAGAGTAGCAAAAAGTTATAGGTTTACTCCAGCAGTTCATTTGTTAAAGAAATACTGACATTTACTTTTCAGCAGGCAATGGACTGAATTGCCTCACCGCCTGTTGTACTAGGTTGGTATCATCCCATGTTATTTACTCTGACTAATGCAGCAGAAATTCGCTTGTATGCCCACACCTCATCTGGATGCTGTCTGTGTTACTGCATGATCTGGAGGCACCCAGGTAGGGAATGAGAGGTGATGGATCCACCAGGGATGGGGTTTCTGCTGTACCTACTTAGCAGCAACTTGCCACTTACCCACAATTTTCACTTAACCTTTGGATTTCACCTGGACTCAGCAGAATATAAATTTATAAACTGATGCAACACCCTTGCCAAGAAAGAGAAACATGAAGAAGAGAAGGGAAACACGCCTGCTTACTAAGGAAAATGTATGTTAAATTGAGAAAGGTATTGGATTGTTTTGAGTAGCTAGAAAGAGCTGTGGAACAATCCAGACAGGATTTAAGACAGCTTCTCTATTTTTCTTTTTTTTTTTTTTGAGCATTTATCTCAGCTTGCACTAACATCAAAGGGAATCAAGAAAAGTTGTTGCATATCGGTCTTTTCACACAAGATTTGTATATAAAGGATCACGGGGGTCATTTTAGACCATCTTGGACAGTTCCCATTAGGAAGTGAAAATATCACAAGCCTGGAGTGGCAAACTGCCTGCTCATGTTTGGACCCCTGGTCTGGATATCAACCCCTAGAGCTCTCCCACAGAAATTAATTTCATTATTCCTATGCAAGAAAGAGCAGGTTATTAATGTTTCAGCTACAGAAATTATTCTCCCGTGCTAGTGCAATGTATCTGTTAGAATTAGTTCTGTAAATCTGCATCACAATGGACAATATTCTCTTAAACTAATTTCTTGCAATCATCATTAATTGGCCAGCTTTCTAACACCTGGTACCAACAGATTTTTCATCCAGCAAGTGCAGTGCCACACAATGGTAACAGCAGGGTTTTACCTAATCCCTCTCCACACACAAGCAAACATCAAATGTGCCTGTAACAAAGACATGCAGACCAGCCTGACATTTGCTGATAACTCCCAGGAGATTCTCCCTCAGTACAACTAGTCCTGCTCAAACAGATTTTCCAGTGGAAAAGATGATTTGAAATAATTTCCAACTAGACTAATTGCACTCACTTGAAAAGAACATCCTTCTCTTCCTCAGTGTCCAGCTGAAAATGCAGCTTCACACTTCGTGAAGTTTTCCAAAGCAATAATTATTTCATCTTAAGAGATGAATTCGCAACAGCTTGCTCGATAATGAAGTTATGCAGATATATATACTTCATACAAAGTTGCACACACATACATACGTGCACACACAAAATAAAAATAATAATAATAAAAAAGCTGGCATTTAAAACTGCTTCTTAATTCCACTCACAGTTTTGAAGTTCAAGCATAAAACTTCTTGCCTTGCATCTGTAGCTCCAAGCTGTCTGTAAAGATAACACAGTCCATCAGATATCCTGGTTTTGTTTTCTCGCATAAAAATATCATCTGTCACAAGCACAGGAGCTGACTTCCAGGGCCAGCCCCTTCGGCGGAGCACACCAATCGGGAGACCCCGGGAGCACATGTGGAATGCTGCTGCTCGCCGGAGCGCCGGCCACGGCCACGGGCAGCATCTGCTCTGTGGACACAGCACCGCGGTGCCACTGCTCCTGGGGACACCGGAGCCTGAGCCCAGGCGCTGTGCCCTGCCCCTTCTGGCGCTATTCTTTCATGTTTTAACCAAAATAGTCTCATTTGCCGTTATATTGAATGCTTCTTCACTTTTTCTCTTAGTTGCTATTCTAACCCCATTTAGAGCTTCATATTACAAATTTTATCCCTGGAAAACCACGCCTGTGGAAAAGTCCTGGGCATTGAAAGCCCCTCATATCAGTGCTCCTAACCCTTTGGGTGAGCCTCACCTGGGGTTTTCTTCCTTTTTCCCTGCCTGCCCACAGGCTCCCTGCCCCTCCTGCCTCTGCCACAGCTGCCCGGGTGTTCCGTGCAGGCTCCCCGCACGCAGCCCTGCTCTGCGCCCGCCAGCCTGAGGGATCGTGTTCTTCCTGCATCTGTTTAACCTGGTGACACTTAAATGCAAACCGCTTAGAAATGGTGTTTGGGGGCACAGACCCGCAGGTTCCCTGCGTGCCCAGCCCTGGCCCAGAGCCGGGCTGAGGGCAGTGCTAACCCGGGCTGGGAGCGCAGCGCTCGGAGCCGCAGCTCGCACCAAACAGAGGTGAGCGGGACGAACTCACATCTGTGCATCTGTTTGCGCTCCTGGAAGGACAAGCCACGACATGCTGGGAAGGGAAACCAGGAAACACACACTGCAAAAGCCGTGCCTTTTCCAGCTGACGGAAGAGACCTAAAGGCCTTCCCACCTCGCACCTCTCATAGTCTCAGTGCTGGCTTTATTAACTCAAAGACTGGCTGTAATAAATACTGCTGTCTCCAGGCTGTGAATAACTTGCCTGTTTAATGGAATTAAATTTGCTTCTAATTTTAGTTTAGTAGATTAGTAATTCAACAAATGGTCATTTTACAATGTTTTCCGGTGGTGGATTAACCAGGCTGGTTAAAAACCCAGACAAAGCTCCATTTTCCACTCTCAGAAGCCGCTGGCTTCTCAGAGGAAAAATTCCCACAGAATGTCACTGAGACAGGACGGACTTCGGTCAGTGAAATAAGTTCCCGCCGGATCCAGGGTGGGATTTCCCATTTCCAGAGGCTAAGGCCAGCACACCCCAAGCAGGAAATAGCTCTCCGTTAGCGAGAGCCAAGAACCTTGGTGGAAGCGCTTTCTTTCATCGGCCGCCGGTGGGGCGGGGAGGAGCCAGGAGGGACCGTCTTTGGCGTCTGGAAGGTCTTTTGCAAATCTGCTACCCGGAGCAAACTCCTTTCCAGATCCCAGCCGGGAACATTTTGTTCAGCGGTTTCCGAGCTGGGAGCAGCTGGGGCAAGGCTGGCTGGAGGTTTTCCTGCCTGATCCCGATCCTGGTTCTGCACCCAGGGCTGGGCAGAGGGGTGGAGTTGGGTCAGCCTGCCTGGCCCTACCTGGGGCTGGGACAAACCTTCACCCTCTTTTGCAGCTGAAGAAGATGCACTGTCTGGCAGCACTTTGGAGGGAGAGGCGGAGGAAAAAATGCTGAGCCTTGTAAAACGGGTATTTCCACTGCGTCTGGGACCTTGCCGGGGTGATGCAGGGGAACCTGAGCAAAAAACTTCCTGCACAGCCAAGGCAGAGACCTGTTAAGAGGCTCACTGGCTTCCCACAATCTTTCAAAGGGTCTTGCTTTAATTTTCACATTTTGATCCTACACGAGGTCAGACCTCCCAAAGAGCCAGTTTTGCCCCATCCAGACTCGCGCCCACATGGCAGTGACAAGTGGGACCGTGAATCTGCACTGACATGTGAGAGAGCTGCCCGAGCCCTCTGCCTGTGGGTACCTGCTGTGGCTCCAGCACAGTGGCCCAAATTTGCTTTGGGCCTGGGAAACTCAGCCTGATAGATGGTGTTTAACGTGCAGCCAAGCCAGGTTTTGAAAGCTAAGCATGTACACACATAAATGGCTGAGATTTAACAAGTCACTATACCACAGCAGTGGGAGATGGACAGTCCTGACATCTCTCTCAGCCTATTTACTTATCAGCACTTTCTTCCCTGCAGGATAGGTGTGCCATCCATTAATTCCCAGCTGTATTGCATCTCACTGAACTGTCCTTTTCCTTTACTCCCAGCATGTATTTTTTCCCCCTCTTTTTAGTCCTGATTATGTCCGACTGTGTCCTACCAAATTTCTATCCTCGGTATTTACAGACTGTAAATATTTGTCAGTTTATCACATTGCCTCTGAGCCACCATTTCACCAAGGTCTAGGTATATTTTTCCTGATGAATCAGTTCTTCCAGACCCCCTATTTTTTGCTGCTCTTTCCTGTAGAGTTTGTAGACTTTGTTTGGTTTTAAAAGACAGTGGAGGGAAGTTTAATTCTTTTTTCTTTAAATAAGGGCAATAGCTGGATGAAATTATATTGCATTATATTAAGGAGAGTTTCAGGCAAACTTGCATTTGAGATGGCCAGTTCTAAACTTCATACTTGCTCCCTCTTATTTGTCACATTTGTTTGGATCACTAGTATTTTATGCTGCAAACTTTGGCATCCCCTTTTGTCAAAGACACTAATACATAATTCACTGTCCTGGGTAAATTCATGGACTTGCATGAAGCCCCCTGGACAGGCAGGAACGTGTGTGGGCAAACAGTTGTGTGATTGCAGTCTCAGGATGGGACCTTCAAAGGTACCTAGGAAGCCAACTTTCACCATTTCCAGAAAGGTGGGGTCTTCTGCAGCTGAAATGCAGAGCCCAGGAGGAGCTTTAGTCCTGCCTGAAATACCAGCCACAGACGGCTGCTGGGTCACTGGTCACTGAGAAGGTCACACTGGTACCTGTCTCTATCTCTGTCTCTATACCTCCCCTGCATTACCCTAAGGCCAAAGTGCAAACAGGCATCTGAGTAAAGAGAAATCTGTTGCAACATCGTGTGAACACAACAAGTCTCTCCAACCTTTGCCACCAGACGCTGCGTGGTTGCCTTCGGCACAAATTGTACTTTACTCTGCTAAGGATCCCACTGGAATCTCGCTATGCTTACTAAAACTTAGTGGGAGCTGAAGGAGAAAGAAAAAAATCTCCAGGGAGTTTAAGTAAGGTTTGATTATTCATGGGAGCAGTAGGGGAATGGTAAAATTCTTCTGGATTTGTTGTGAGCCTCTGGCATTGCACCAGACTGCTGTTTTCCAACCAGTCTCTTTTTATTTGGAAGCCCTTAAATCCAGACTGTAACTTTAGATAAGTGAAATTATGCATAGATGATGAAGAATTGGAGGACAACTCAGGGCTGCCCTACATCTGGTGTATTTTGGATACTTTAAGGAATTTTGACTCCTTATAGATCCTGGAAATAAAGTTAAATCATGCACCTTTTGTATAATTCTCTCCATCAGAGGCTATTCCCTGTGGAATCTGTCTGCAATGCAGCAGCCAGAGAGAACAAGATCTGTAATTTTAGTTCAGGTATATTTGGACTTATTTTTATGCACTTGAGCTACAGCAAGCTGTAGCAAAGCTACAGATGCCATTTCAGCTGCAGTGTTTCCATTAAGGCTGATTTACTCAAAAGCAAAGAAAAGCAACTTAAAAACCGACAAGATAAAGGCAACTAAATAAGTGTTTAACAATGATATCTACTTGTCTTTGCAATAATTTCCATGGACTTGTGTTTTAGGCCTGTTTTATAGTCCTTTTAATTTCATGAAATGTGTGGCATGCTGTCAGTATTTTTTTCAGCTCTTGAAATAACTGATAAGCAATGTTTTATCAAAAACTCATAGCAAGGATTTTTAAATAATACCTGAATTGAATTCAGTCCTATCATGTTGCCCTAGAATGATTTCTAAAGAGTGTGAAAATGGGGAAAACCAAATTCCTATGTAAAATTCTTCATAACTTATACCAAGAAAAGGCAAGAATGCCTTCCAGCTGGTCTGATTAACAGCTAATATGTCATATAATGATATCAGCATAACAAATGTTTCATTTTTCCCCTAGATAATTTCAGTTAGGAGCTAGAAGTATCACTCAGGTCATAAATCAATTTTAGAAAGTAAATGTAATTAACTGCTGAACTGCATTGCCGTCCCAGAAAGTAAGGTCAAAATTCTGGTTTAAAAGACTTTTTTCCCAGTAAAGTTAGCAGTTTTCAGCTGCATAAAACCAGCTCTTTGAGGATGAATCCAAATATTCTAGACTGAACTTCTGAGGGAAACTGTTTCTATGAATCAGCTCAGCCAGGTCCCCTCAACAATAGAGCACTTGTAAGTGTGATAGCACCGTCCACTTTTCATTAATATGCAGCTATCAGTGTGGTGAGTCACACGATAAAGCATTTAACAACTGTTCTCATAAATACCATACACCATCTGGTAACTGAATCAAAAGGCTACGTGCCAGTATTACTTTGGGATAGAAAGGTCTGTTTTAAATTTACACCAATAGTCTCAGGGTGCACAGATATTGCAAAAAATTAGTATAGAAACATGTTATCCCATCCAATTTCCCAAAAGTACAGCTGAGAATGAAAAAAAAATTATTCAGGGGGAAATTTTGACATTATACTGTTTGTTCTCATTGCAAGTCAGAATTAAAGGACTTGAAATTTTCATTATTCATGTCAAAAGACACCAACATTTTTTTTTCAATATATTCCTGGGGAAGATGTCTACATTAGGTTTCTTACTAAATGATATTGAAATGAAGTGTTCTGATATGCCCAAAATACAAAAAAAGTTTTCTTCTGAATTTGGTGGAGTGACATAGAATACTTTGTTTCATAGCAATTCAGTCTGAGATTTCCACTTGGTGACAACATCACCTCATCTTGCAGGAATGCTGGCTCCTGCCATCATCCCATCACTCAGGCTGGACTCTGATTAGGTCACACAAGAAGGCCTGGAAGTCCCCTGATGCAGCTCACTCAATGACAAAGCATGGGA